CAAATCTAATATTAACTTTTTTTTAAAATAAAAGAAAGCTACTGTGAACTTTTTCCCACTAAACTACCATGCCTAACGATAGTTAAGGTAGAGTGTCATGCACATCTCACGTGACATGTTTTGGAAAAAAGAATTCCCTTATGTACTTTATATATCTTTTATGTTACGGTACCCTCTCCTTTTTTCAAGCATACTTGAAACCTTCCAAGCTGTCAATGACATTAGCAACAAAGTCCAATAGTTCATGGTATTTTTTCTACAAGTTTGAAAGTTCGTGATATATTTCTTTAATAAAGAAGTTTATGGTAGTATTGAGCTAAACCCCCAAAGTTTATGGTATTTTTATGAAGTTTACTCTAATTTTAAATGAGGAATTCGACTTCGATCTGTGACTTCTAGGTGTCTAATTTACAGAACCAGACAGAAGTAACTCCTCTAGGGATTAAAGGCTTTGTACATTCTCATGGAACTTTTACAATCAATAAGCTTATCAAGAAGCATCCTTATACAGCTTAATGAAACCATTAATATATCCTATGATGGAAGTATGCTTATTGGTTCGCTAAGGTTAGATGGTTGGCGGTGATCTTTAGGATAAGAGAACTTTCAGCTAGAGATATTATGCACTCAATGTTGCCATGACATGGTAGGCTCATGCATAAAGTTGCTTTCTCATAGTAGAGGGTTGACATTTATTCTGATCATGAGTTGGTTAAAAATACCGACCAACCATATACAGTTTATGTCAAATTGCCAATGGACATAATGCTTGGTTAAATATGAAAGCGCACCTGATGAATGGCCAACGTGGCCAACTTTAGCTGTTTTTATTTATTATAGTATTCTTCCAACTATCATATGTTCTATCATATTAATATATCATATTTTATTGTATGATATTACTAACTCAAATTATTATAGATATTCTTCCAACTATCATATGTTCTGTCATATTAATGTATCATATTTTATTGTATGATAGTACTAATTCAAATTAGCATTGTATACTGGAAAGAAGGAAAACAAGGGGGGGAAAGAGAAACTAGGATATAAGTTGTCAGATAAATTATAATTTCCTAAACACATTAAAAAAACTCATGGAGTTATCTTGCTTCTGACTGGATTAGTAACTGTGAACTATACAAAATGATAGTACTAATCCTTATAGCATTCAATTATTATAGTTTTCTTCCAACTATCATATGTTCCATCACATTAATATATCATATATTGGAAAGAAGAAAAATAAGGAAAAAAAACAGAAACTAGGATATTAAGATAAATTATAATATGTTAAACACACTAAAAAAAACTCATGGAGTATCTTGCTTCTGACTGGATTAGCAACTGTGAACTATTCATTAAAATGGGCCTTTCTTTTTTGATCATGCAAGTCACTTTTTGCGCTTCCAAATTGAAGTAAATTATGCTTCCAGATTCATATACATCTTTCAACAATATATCATATATGTCACGAAGCTAATGCAAAAGTTAGTAATTTCTCTTTTCAGATCAGTATATATCCTACAGATAATACTAAATTCTTCTAGAAACAATTAAATAAAAGTCCTCTGGCAAACAAAAATGAAACAGAGGCACCTTAGGATGGAGAAAATCTCACCACTTAGTTGATGGCCACTTACTAGCCAACACCAAATGCATGTTTTACCAAAGTCCCATGAACCCTCAAATCAACAGCATTATATTTTAAGGAGAAGTGAGGGAACCTTATCATGCTTATAGCATAACCCACAAGCATCCACATTGCATCATCAGGAGACATCTCCCTTGTCCCTGGATTTGATAAGATGATGGACACTTGAGCAATCAGAAAAGAAATGTGTGTAATATGCTAATTCTCTTCAGAGACCTAGAGACATGTAAGTTTTTTTAAAAAAAAATAAATTAAACTAATATGGAAAATAATGTCAATCAGTGGAACATGAGTATTATGAAGCAATGATAACGAGGTATAAGAAAGGATGCATCAACAACAGGATAGATGTCCCGTTAAGGTTCTCGAAATTGAAGACTGCAAGAAGCAAGAGAAAACTTTTGAAACTTGGAAGGATAATTAGGATTAAAAGATCGAAGGTTGTCAGTGCATAAAAAAGAAAAAAAAATTATCTATTGTGTTTCACTTTCTGAACTGGAAAGACCTGAAAGAATCTCAATAACTGTCTTCATTCCAGTTCATCAGCTTATTTCTTCTAGGACTAGAACCTCTTCCATTGGTTATCTAGATTTAAAGTTACTGAAAAGATTTTTCTTTTATGCACTCTGCTTAGCGATCAGATTTTCAAATATAAAAGTCCTCATTCCAATCACAAAGGATAAATAAAGTATCAGATATGAAATCACTTCAGACACTAAGCATTTTAAGTCACTATGAGTAAAGAACAGGATCCCTTTAAGCTGCCATGCTCCTTGACAAAAACATAGGCATGCTAATCAAAGGCCTACGACCTAGGATAAGGGCCCCAAGGGTGGTCATGCCTGTGATTAAATTGTATAAATGATAGCCTTATTGATGTGTAAAGGTTGTCAAGTAATTATTCTTTACAAGAGAGACTCCTACATGAAGCTCCAACTCACTCAAGGAGTTATTACCTTTGTAGGTGAGCAAAGACAGAAGAGAGCAGAAGCTCTGAGAAATACAACAACCTCAAAGCTAGTCTAAACTAGTGGGAGGTTGTCTGCTTGAATAGAACAAAGCAAATATATCTATCTATATATAGATAGATAGATATCAAGAAATGCCACGAGGGAAGGTGCAATTAAGGCGTATTCAGAATCCTGTTCATCGACAGGTTACCTTTTGTAAGCGCAGAGCTGGATTACTCAAGAAGGCTAAGGAATTGTCAGTATTGTGTGACGCGGACATTGGAATTATTATTTACTCTGCTCAAGGCAAGCTTTTTGAGCTAGCCACAAACGGGTATGTTCCTGATTCTCTTTCTTCATGTGTAGCCTAAAATTCTCTTTTGTCACAAACTTTTACTTCTTTTTCTTCCATGGTTGTGAAGTGCCATGCAAGATTTGATCCAGAGATACACGGGCACACGTGGAGAATTTCAAGTTGAAGGTGGTGAAGCTAGTCAACCTCAGGTCTGTTTTAAAACTTTCATTCTATAGGCAGAGTAGGATGGTTCATGCTGCAAATTACTAGCAAGACTAGTATGCAGTATATGTAGCTACAAATATATAAAGGGAGAAGGTCAGATGATGATGATGACGGTAATGATGATGACGATGACACTGACTACTGTTACTGCTACATCATATTCAGAATTGCCCTTATGTATGGAAACCAAGTTGTAGGACAGAGATTAAAATTATACATTAGCTATTTAAGCACAAGGGAGGTAGAAGTGAAGAAAGGAATAATCAAATGGGTAAAAGTATCCTCTTGACATTGCATATGATATTTGTTTTCTTTCCTTTAGTGGGATTTTTTTTTGTTGTTGCTTATAGTTAGCCATTGCCCCTTTGATGGAGCTTCATATAGGAGAGAGGAACCAGTAAAGACATGCATACATGCATACATGTGCGTGAGAGAGGAACCAGTAAAGACAGCAAACGAAATTAGGCAATATATAGATGTACTTCAGAAGGTAAATGGCTATGAAAGATCCAAGTCTGCTTTGTGTCTGCATCTATAAGTGTGAATATGGATAGTAGTAATTGGTATCTAAAAGAAATATTCAAAATATTTCCATGTCGACCTCGCTTATAAATGTAGTGGATGCTGATATTTTGATTTTCACTCTATTAATAAATAAAATAATCTACATTATGTGCTACATTTTCTTGTGTTTTTCCAGCGTTATGTTATGCATTATTATTATTATTATCTAACGATTAATAAATAAAATAATCTACATTATGTGCTACATTTTCTTGTGTTTTTCCAGCGTTATGTTATGCATTATTATTATTATTATCTAACGATTAATAAATAAAATAATCTACATTATGTGCTACATTTTCTTGTGTTTTTCCAGCGTTATGTTATGCATTATTATTATTATTATCTAACGATTAATAAATAAAATAATCTACATTATGTGCTACATTTTCTTGTGTTTTTCCAGCGTTATGTTATGCATTATTATTATTATTATCTAACGATTAATAAATAAAATAATCTACATTATGTGCTACATTTTCTTGTGTTTTTCCAGCGTTATGTTATGCATTATTATTATTATTATCTAACGATTAATAAATAAAATAATCTACATTATGTGCTACATTTTCTTGTGTTTTTCCAGCGTTATGTTATGCATTATTATTATTATTATCTAACGATTAATAAATAAAATAATCTACATTATGTGCTACATTTTCTTGTGTTTTTCCAGCGTTATGTTATGCATTATTATTATTATTATCTAACGATTAATAAATAAAATAATCTACATTATGTGCTACATTTTCTTGTGTTTTTCCAGCGTTATGTTATGCATTATTATTATTATTATCTAACGATTAATAAATAAAATAATCTACATTATGTGCTACATTTTCTTGTGTTTTTCCAGCGTTATGTTATGCATTATTATTATTATTATCTAACGATTAATAAATAAAATAATCTACATTATGTGCTACATTTTCTTGTGTTTTTCCAGCGTTATGTTATGCATTATTATTATTATTATCTAACGATTAATAAATAAAATAATCTACATTATGTGCTACATTTTCTTGTGTTTTTCCAGCGTTATGTTATGCATTATTATTATTATTATCTAACGATTAATAAATAAAATAATCTACATTATGTGCTACATTTTCTTGTGTTTTTCCAGCGTTATGTTATGCATTATTATTATTATTATCTAACGATTAATAAATAAAATAATCTACATTATGTGCTACATTTTCTTGTGTTTTTCCAGCGTTATGTTATGCATTATTATTATTATTATCTAACGATTAATAAATAAAATAATCTACATTATGTGCTACATTTTCTTGTGTTTTTCCAGCGTTATGTTATGCATTATTATTATTATTATCTAACGATTAATAAATAAAATAATCTACATTATGTGCTACATTTTCTTGTGTTTTTCCAGCGTTATGTTATGCATTATTATTATTATTATCTAACGATTAATAAATAAAATAATCTACATTATGTGCTACATTTTCTTGTGTTTTTCCAGCGTTATGTTATGCATTATTATTATTATTATCTAACGATTAATAAATAAAATAATCTACATTATGTGCTACATTTTCTTGTGTTTTTCCAGCGTTATGTTATGCATTATTATTATTATTATCTAACGATTAATAAATAAAATAATCTACATTATGTGCTACATTTTCTTGTGTTTTTCCAGCGTTATGTTATGCATTATTATTATTATTATCTAACGATTAATAAATAAAATAATCTACATTATGTGCTACATTTTCTTGTGTTTTTCCAGCGTTATGTTATGCATTATTATTATTATTATCTAACGATTAATAAATAAAATAATCTACATTATGTGCTACATTTTCTTGTGTTTTTCCAGCGTTATGTTATGCATTATTATTATTATTATCTAACGATTAATAAATAAAATAATCTACATTATGTGCTACATTTTCTTGTGTTTTTCCAGCGTTATGTTATGCATTATTATTATTATTATCTAACGATTAATAAATAAAATAATCTACATTATGTGCTACATTTTCTTGTGTTTTTCCAGCGTTATGTTATGCATTATTATTATTATTATCTAACGATTAATAAATAAAATAATCTACATTATGTGCTACATTTTCTTGTGTTTTTCCAGCGTTATGTTATGCATTATTATTATTATTATCTAACGATTAATAAATAAAATAATCTACATTATGTGCTACATTTTCTTGTGTTTTTCCAGCGTTATGTTATGCATTATTATTATTATTATCTAACGATTAATAAATAAAATAATCTACATTATGTGCTACATTTTCTTGTGTTTTTCCAGCGTTATGTTATGCATTATTATTATTATTATCTAACGATTAATAAATAAAATAATCTACATTATGTGCTACATTTTCTTGTGTTTTTCCAGCGTTATGTTATGCATTATTATTATTATTATCTAACGATTAATAAATAAAATAATCTACATTATGTGCTACATTTTCTTGTGTTTTTCCAGCGTTATGTTATGCATTATTATTATTATTATCTAACGATTAATAAATAAAATAATCTACATTATGTGCTACATTTTCTTGTGTTTTTCCAGCGTTATGTTATGCATTATTATTATTATTATCTAACGATTAATAAATAAAATAATCTACATTATGTGCTACATTTTCTTGTGTTTTTCCAGCGTTATGTTATGCATTATTATTATTATTATCTAACGATTAATAAATAAAATAATCTACATTATGTGCTACATTTTCTTGTGTTTTTCCAGCGTTATGTTATGCATTATTATTATTATTATCTAACGATTAATAAATAAAATAATCTACATTATGTGCTACATTTTCTTGTGTTTTTCCAGCGTTATGTTATGCATTATTATTATTATTATCTAACGATTAATAAATAAAATAATCTACATTATGTGCTACATTTTCTTGTGTTTTTCCAGCGTTATGTTATGCATTATTATTATTATTATCTAACGATTAATAAATAAAATAATCTACATTATGTGCTACATTTTCTTGTGTTTTTCCAGCGTTATGTTATGCATTATTATTATTATTATCTAACGATTAATAAATAAAATAATCTACATTATGTGCTACATTTTCTTGTGTTTTTCCAGCGTTATGTTATGCATTATTATTATTATTATCTAACGATTAATAAATAAAATAATCTACATTATGTGCTACATTTTCTTGTGTTTTTCCAGCGTTATGTTATGCATTATTATTATTATTATCTAACGATTAATAAATAAAATAATCTACATTATGTGCTACATTTTCTTGTGTTTTTCCAGCGTTATGTTATGCATTATTATTATTATTATCTAACGATTAATAAATAAAATAATCTACATTATGTGCTACATTTTCTTGTGTTTTTCCAGCGTTATGTTATGCATTATTATTATTATTATCTAACGATTAATAAATAAAATAATCTACATTATGTGCTACATTTTCTTGTGTTTTTCCAGCGTTATGTTATGCATTATCATTATTATTATTATTATTAGTATTATTATTATTATTATTATTATTATTATTATTATTATTATTATTATTATTATTAATATTATTATTATTATATCTATGAAATATATAAATAATTAATAAAAAACAATCTACGTTATGTGTAACATTTTCTTGTGTTTTTTCCAGCGTTATGTTCTGTGTTATTATTATTATTATTACTAATGGTTATGAGGTGGTGACTCATTTAGAAAAATAAGCTCCTAAGAATAGAGGTGAGGTCCACACCTTTTAATGTGACTAGCAAGATGGGCCTCATCACATGGTTGTCTCCTGATAATTGAAAGTTATCAAATTTTGAGAATGCAAAAAAGGAAATCAAAAGTTTTAACATGAGTATTCTCTTTTATGTATACACCTCATACCCATTTTTCCTATATATATATACATGGAAAACATGAGTATGATACACTACTCATAAAAGAGAATACTCATGTTAAACATTTGATTTCCTTTTTTGCCCTCTCAAAATTTGATAACTTGCAATTATAATATTAATTGTAGTTAAACTTTAAGTAGTTATCCAAAACATCTTATTAATTATGGACCTCCTCACTTTCCCACATATTTAGGCATTCACTAAAACTAGTGTGAACACCGTGTGCAAAGCACGGCATATCTTTTTTCTCCGCTACAGTAATCCCTGTTTAAATGCTACAGTAATTTTTTTGCAGTGTTGTAGTATCCCGCCTCTGCTATAGTATTAAAGTGTTTTTACGACATCTCGTGTATTACAGTAATATTTTTTCAAAAATGATACAATATCTCGTTTTCTCGTTTGCTACAGTAATAATACTATAGTAAATGTTGTTGTTGCATTTACTGTAGAATGAATAGTGAATCTTGAGTTCTCCCATTTATATAGAGGAGTAGATGTACTTAATATAAATACTTCATAATGATAAGAAAAATTATAAAAATAAATTATAATTTATATAAATAATTGTTAATCATAATAAAATAGTATAAAATCATCAGTGTCATAAAATATTTTATAAAATGACTATAAATGGTTTATTAAATAATATATTATTAAAATGATTTATAAATTATAACAAAATATTACTGTAAATAAAATAATAAACTATTAAACATTCTTAAAAATATATTATTGAATAAATAATACGTAAAATATTGTTAATATTTAATAGTAAAATAATATAATTATTGTAATATTATAGCCTAACTACGAATTACACTATTATTTAATACATTATAATGAATAATAGTATTATAATTATCCTATATATAAATATTTGAAATAAGAATAGTTATAAATAGCATATAATTTATTACAATTATTCCACGTTATAGTTAAAAATATTTATAATACATATTATAATATTAAATAAATATTTATTTTTTTATAAATATCTAAATAAATTATGATAAATTTATAATAAGTATCTAAAATAGAAAAATTACTCATACAATTCTTTATACACAACCTTATTTATTAATATAAAATTTTATATTATTACAAAAGTCACTTCATAATTTTGCACTCGGAAAAAGAATTCAAAACAAAAAAATAGTATGTCCACAGGCAAAGCACATGCATTATACTAGTATATATAAACTAACGATAATGTAGAACATAACATTGGAAAAAACACAAGAAAATGTAACACATAAGATTATTTTTTATCAATTATTTAGATATTTCATAAAATCAAAACTATTCATAATGCCTTTAATGATCAAATTAGGACGTGTGGCGATACCTCCATCATCCAAATCAATATCATGGTAGCTGAAATAACTTCCCAATTGAATTCCCCGATCCTAATTTCATTCGAGTGAAAACCCATAGCCATCCCTCGACCCCATCTCCTCCCCCTCCACCTCCACCTCCTCTCACTCTATCAAAGAAGAAACCTCTCGATTTCTTCATCTCTCACTTATTCGATGAAGACGAAGCTTCTTGCTGATGACAAGGGTCTTCTCATCCTCTATCCCTATCAAAAACAAGACTCCTCTCTGGTTCCTCAGCTCCCATGTCTCCTCTCGCCGATAAAGAAAATCCTAACCCCATCTCTGCATCTTGTGGTATCACTTATATAAAATAGGTTGAGCAACTAGTTTATACAACCTGCAATACTAGATTTAAGTGTGACTGTGACTTCATATTTGCAGGAAATGCAACACGAGATATCAATGTTGAAAGATGAAATAGATTTTCTGCAGAAGGGCCTGAGGTAATCTTCATTACCTAATACATCCAACGCCTGTAGCACAAATAGAATTCACGAGTTATGCATGTATCCTCTTACGTGTGTGTGTGTGTGTGTGTATGTTTTCATGTATTTATTCAATTTTCTGGGCAGGTTTGAGTGTTAAAGGCATAGTTTTATAGTATATGCAGAATTAGAGACTTTACCTGGTCTCTGGAACTGTTTAATAGTATTGCAAAAAGATAAAGTAAAGAGACATCCATACAATTGAAGAAAAAGGAAAACAGCATTTAAAGTAGTTTACCATCACTAAGAAAGCACTATCCATCAACTAATTTAAAAAAAAAGCAGGTGCTCTTACACAGCCTTGGATCTCAAAAAAACATAAATCTAGTCATGAAAACTGACACTGATTTTCTGAGAAGTAATGAAGAAGTAATGAAGCATAACTATAAGGATTGTCCATTCTTCTTTCCTTGCCTCTCTGTATGAAGCATGTTTTTGTAGGGTTGACCAAATCAACCAAGCGCCCATGTGTAAAATAAGAAAAGAATGGGTGATAATGGGCCATTAGTGGAGAATTAATGGGCTCATTATGGGTATTAAGTTAAGACTGTAAACGGCTTTAATTTGTAGTTGACAGAATAAAGAGTACAATGATTAAGAATTGAAATCCCTTACACCGGAGCCCCCAAAAAACCCATTTTCTCTCTTGTAGTTGAAACAGCATGATACTTCAATAAGGAACTTTACCCCTTTCAGACATGTATAAATAGCCTGATAATGGCAGTTCTGTGTCAAATATATTCATTGACATACCCTAAATGTATAGCTTAGAATATTAGATGGATCAGATCCTATCTGGGACTAAGAAATTAATTGATTTAAATGATGCCCATTATTCAATTAGGCTTGCTAATATTTTTACATTAATTTCCTTCTTTGTAAGTGATCAAGCCTAATCTACTTTGTCACCAGCCTAGATGTAACTCATAAATGACTTGCAGATATACGCAGAATAATAGCACATCCGAGAATTTCCAAGTTAATTGATTAATTCAAGAAATAGTGTGTGAATTTCACGAACAAAAAATTATAGTTAAACATGGCATATTTGTACTTGAAGCTACTTGAACAATACAAAAATGGAGTCTATTAACCAACCATTCTTGATCAGCTTCTTTTGGGAAGAATTCTTATTTATATAGAGTATCTGTTTCTTTTTGGGAAGAATTATTATTTATAGAGTATCTTCCTAGAGAATCCCCAACTTCAAATCCCTTTAGATAAAAAAAACCCATCAAAGCTTCATCGTATGTTCTTCTTGTCCACCTAGTAACCTTTGTCATTGACATCTTTGTGTAAACTTCAGTACGAATATTGTATAAGCTTCAATATTAATACAAATATATGTTTACAAAATTCATGACTATATCTTTAAAAGTTCTATACAATACAACAGCAACACTAACAACAAACCATTTGTTCAGGACTTTTTGAATTGGCTTCATGAATTGTTTCATTGAGCCCCATTAAGGGATATCTTCTTGATTAAAAGCTTAAAACCTCCCTCCCTCTCCATCTCTGATATTCTCCGAAATAAGTTCAAACAATGTCACCAACAGTAGGAGATAAACTTTGGAATAGGTGAGGAGACCCCCCATTTGTTTCTCAAAATATTAATAGCCAGATTGCATAGACTTTGCTAAAAGTCAAATAATAGCTGAAATAAAATAAATTTGGTTAAAGCAGGAACAATCTATTCAACTAGCAATTTCCATTTTTTTTCTTACCCATTGCCGCTCACTCTGACACCATAATATGCATAGTGTGTACCTTTTTTCAATCTAAGTGTCACTCTAGTGTTCAACTTTTTTTCATAGGAGTGCAAATTTCTTAAGAATTAGTTTTGAAGAGACATGCATACGTGAAATGGAATACATCCTATAGAGGGTTCTTAATATGAAAATCATATAGGGAGGACAGCAATGGTGACTAGTGTCCCATAAACCAATTTGTAGTATTACTGCAGTCATTATCAGTATAACAAGAAAACTAAATCAGTGCAATCAGGCTACTGTACCAATGCAATCACCAACTTTAAAATAAACACCAAACACTTCCCACAATCTCATTACTCCCTATATGATTTTCCACTGATGACCATTTATAGGATTTGTTTCCCAAATATAAGCATGTTTCCTGGTCTGATGAATTAAATGGTAGCAGGTACATGTTTGGACAGGGAACAGTAGGACATATGACACTGGATGAATTGCAAACCCTTGAAAGGCATCTTGAAATATGGATGTATCACATTCGCTCAACAAAGGTAAATAACTCTGACGTTATTCTTCTACTTCCTCATGTACTTGATCATAATTTAATACCTACATTAAAGTAACCTCAACACAAATCTCCTCTAGCAGATGCACATCATGTTCCAAGAGATCCAATCGCTGAAAAACAAGGTTAGCTCCAGCATATGAAATATCCCACACCACATGTGTTATCACATAAGATCTCATTTTTCTAACTTTCATAAAACAAAATATAGACATAGGTTTAAAGAAAATGTAATGCTTAAAAAGAACCGATTGAAGGTATTATGGATAAAGACTGTTGGTATCAGTTCTTTCAAAATGTAGCAATAAAGGTGTTGGTTTATCATTACTTACAAGGAATTTAATATTTCTTTCCTTAAAACAGGAGGGCATATTGAAGACTGCCAATGAAATTCTTCAAGAAAAGGTAATGACTTGCTGCTAAATACTCACGAGTCACGATACATGATGGGAGGAGCTACATTATTAAGTTAACTCTTATCCCTCATCTTTCACGGTGCAGATTATAAAACAAAATGGGTTCTTTGATGAAGGCTCGACTACAGGAGACATAGGATATGGATATCCACTAACCATACAGAATGGTATATTCAACTTCTAGAAGCTGCAGTGTAGGTTGCTACTGGTACAGATAATAAAGTATTCCAGAAACTTGTATTTCACTCTTATTTGTCTGGTTGGGTGTGCACTCTTTAGCAACTAATATTCTATACAGTTGTTGCTTTGTCCTAGTAGTACTGTCATTACCTGGATCCTGGAATAGTGGTGACTCAATCTGACTCCTTTGTTCTGTGATAGTTCTCCTCTGTCCTTTTGTAATATTTTGTCACGCAAATGTTAGTTTTCCTTGAGGTGAGACAAGAACCATGATTGTGACTTGTGAGGTCTTGAAGATACTCAATTACAAACAAATTACTGAAATATTGTAATTATCTGATCCAAGATTTATCCTAAGTATTTATTGTCCATGAATGATAACTGCTGAAAGTAACAAGAAATGAACACAGGTGTAGTGAATAAGTAATTTACTGAAGCAAGTTCAGACCCATAAACAGCACAAAAAAGAATGATATTGAAAGGAAAAAAGGAAACTCACACCTAGTTTAGGGAGGCTTGGCTTCGCGAGGAAAAAGAAAAACTTGCATTGCCCTGCATAAAAATAATTTGTCAACCAACTCCTTTATAACCTTTATCGCTCCAACAGCAAAATCTCCAATTACAATGGCAAAAAGATAGCACCTATAGCAACCAAATATAGTAAAAGAATGAAATAGGTGATGCAGAGGGCATCACTACCCACTAACTATTATTATATAAAATTTTTGACACCAAAAATTGATAATTTCTAGGAACAATATTTTTTTACTAGTCGATTTACGTGCGAGAACAGGTGAAGAAACAAATTATTAGAATCAAGTATTATAAATGCCAACAAAATTAATCACATCTGGAGTACCCTTGTTATAGATGCCAACCAAATATGCATCTGAAGTTACTATTACATGTAGGAAACTTCAAACAGTCAAAATTTGGTCCATGCCCATTCATGTCCTGAAAATGTATGAACTATCATTAACCATCTGTATAAATATCAGACAAGTGTGGTGCTCCCTCTTAAGTAAAAGGCTAAGTGGCTAACTTAATAAAACCTTTTACATATCTTCTTAGGCTTTTTGGCTCTGGGCCTCCAAAGTCATCCATATTTATTAACGGTTTTTTTGCATATATACCCCCCAAATCTTTCATATATGCAATATTACCTAAATCTTGGTATTAAATCTGCCCCCGGCCCCACCCACCCACCACCCCCCCCCCCACCCCCCAAAAAAAAATTCTCGGCTTTACTGAGTTTCCCTACCCCTTGAGCAAAGTCAAAATTTTCCGATAATCTTGAATATTTTCCGTTTGGAAACTAAAATTGTTAAGTGGAAGGGGTTAAAATCTCAATATGAGAGAATTGGGAGGCAATTTTGCAAATATAGAATATTTGAGGGGTATATATTTAAAACCCCTTTATTGAAATACCCTGAAATTCTGATATTTACTAAAATGCCCCCAAAATCTTCAAAACTGAGCTAGTATCCCCCCACCCCCACCCCCCAACCCAAAAAAAGAAAATATTCTCAAAATATTTCTTATTATTTGTCAAGTCATCGAGGGGCCTATTAGCTCAAAGTTGAAGGTTTAGGGCATTCTGATAATAACAAATATCAAGATTTGAGCGTCATCTTAACAAATACCAAGGTTTAAGGGGTAGATAAATATGGATGCTTTTGGGGGCATAAAACCAATAAAACCCCAAAAAAATTAACTCAATTTTTCTATCGTTCTTAAATTAACTGAAACTGGAGCAATATAGGCTTACATAATGTAAATAAACTCCTCTTAACACCATTTATCTACGTGAATATAATGCAGAAACCAAGTTTGATCCTGAATAATTAAGCAAGTAATTAAGGCATGAAACAAATTGGCAGAAACTATAATAGCATGCATCAAAGGAATCACCTTTATAGAGCATGGAATGAAACCTTAAAGAAATCCAGTTTGAGCCTATCGACAGAATCAGAGATATCGAGATCAAAGCACTAAAATTTCCGTTCTTCACATTGTAATAAAATAAAATAAAATAAAATTTAGGCTAAATTAAGATTTTTACCCAAACAAAAAAAAAATTGAGGGGATCGCAAAGGATCGATCCAGTTCGGTTTCCTCCTCCCCTCGTCCTCTTGTTTCCGAAGGAGTTGAGGAATAAAAGTTTGGGTCCTGGGATTGGGCCTTTAATTAAGCCCAGTTTTACTTCTTTTCTTGTTTTGGGCTGTGATTGGTCACTCCCATATTTAATGAAAATAAAAGTGAAATGAGAAAAAGGTTTGCCATGTTTTAATTTTAATTAAAAAACAAATGAAAGTGAGTTTATAAAAATATAATAAAATAGTAGGAGCTTTTCAAGAACATAATAAGCTACATCTTATTCGGAAAATTTTCATTCTTTCTAATATACTTTAAAAAAATCACATATAATTAGAAATTTATCCTAACAAATGCCAATGTTAAGAAATTAGAAGTAGTTATTATTATTAAGCAGCGGGACAGGATTAGAGAATAGTAAATTAAGAGCATGAACATCTAAACTATTTTAGTATATATAGTAGCGGAGCCACATAGTGTCCAGTGCTATCACAAGACATCACTAGATTACCATTTTCATACACATACATGTTTATTTATTTTTATAGTACTCTCCAAGATCTCACGTTTTTACACCGATCCCTTGATAATCTATCCTTGATGCATCAGTTGTTCAATGAACATAGACCACTAAATAGTTTCGTTATTGCATTTTATAGGCACTTGAGTGTTGTAGTTAGGGAGATAGCAAAGTATTAATAGAGTTCAATCACCTTAACTATGCAAGTAAGAAATCACTTTTAGATTTAAACAATATAACTAATAACTTATTATGGGATTTGAATGAATTCCGTATGGGTGCATGAATCCTAAAATCCAGATATTTAAAAATGATATGACTTTGATGCACTCTTGATGTTGAGATCCATAGAAGACTGTTAATTTGTGATTTCTCAATACTAAAGATGAAGTTTTAGGTAGGTTCAATGTGTATAAAGCTGAATCTGAAAACCAACTTGATAGAAAGATCAAGATTTTAAGATCTGATCGTGAGTGGGGGGGAGTATACCTCAAATGAAATGAATGAATACTGCTAAGAGCATGGTACAATTCATGAGATAATTGCTCCCTATACACCACAGTCTAACGGGATAGCTGAACAAAAAAACAAAACCCTTACGGACATAGTGAACTGTATGTTACTCAGTTTAGGAACACCTGAAAATCTCTTGGGTGAAGCTCTTATTTTGGCTTGCTTCATTCTTAATAGGATTCCCCACAAATCTTCTGATATAACTCCTTATGAATATTGGAAGGGGAGAACTCCTAGGCTGAACTTCTTTCGGGTTTGGACTTGCTTGGCTAAAGTAGCTATTCCCGAACCTAAGAAGAGGAAAATTGGATCTAAGATTGTTAATGCTGCTTTTATTAGATATGCACTAGATAGCAACGTTAACAGATTCTTAGTCATTAACTCTGACATTAGTGACATATCTAACAATACTATCATTGAAGCAAAAGATGCAGTCTACTTTGAAAACATATTTCCTTTCAAATCAAAAATCTCAGAAAGTCCTAGATTATCTCTTCCTTCGGATCTACCATCTTCTAGTTCTTCTTAGCCTCTTGATATTGAACCTCAAAGAAGTAAAAGAGGTAAGATTCAAAAAGATTTTAGAGAAGACTATTTACCTTTATTTTTGAAGGTGATCCAAGCTCTTTTAAGGAAGCAATGGATTTATCTGAATCTCCTTTCTGAATGAAGTCATTGATAATAAAATAAAATCTGTCATGGAAAACCATACTTGGATACTCACTGATTTACCTTCGGGTTATAAATATGCTGGCTGTAAGTGGATATTCAAGAAAAAACTTAGAGCTGATGGTTTCATTGATAAATATAAAGCTAGATTAGTAGATAAAGACTATACTCAAAAAAATGGCATCGATTACTTTGATACATATTCTCCTGTAGCCCGAATCTCAACTATCCGAGTATTATTAGTCTTTGCTGCTATCCATAAGCTGACCATACATCAGATGGATATCAAGATTGCTATTCTGAATGGTAATTTAGATGAAGAAATATATATGAACCAACCTGAATGCTTCATTACCAAATGTCAGAAAAATAAATTCTGCAAACTTATTAAATCTTTGTATGGTCGAAAACAAGCTCCTAAATAATGATACCAGAAGTTTGACAGAGTCAGTGCACAATATGGCTTCACTGTGAATGAACATGATAAGTGTGTATATTCTAAAGTGATCAACAATGACTATGTTATCCTCTGTCTCTATGTTAATGATATCCTTATCTTTGGAACAACTCTTGAATTAATCTTAAAGGTTAAGGATTATCTCTTCAAGAACTTTGATATGAAAGACTTAGGTCTTGCCGACATAATACTTAGAATGAAAATCACTAGAGACACTAGAGGAATATCACTGAGTCTTTCTCATAGTATTAAGAAAATGCTGATCAAATTCAATTTTCATGACTCTAAACATGTCTCTACACCTTATGACTCTTCTACATCTTTGAAGAAGAATAAAGATGAACATGTCTCCTAGCTGAAGTATTCTCATCTCATTGGATCTCTCTTGTATATATCCAACCGAACTAGATCCGATATAGCTTATGATGTATGGAGACTGAGACGGTATACCAGTAACCCTATCAAATATCATTGGATTGCCTTAGAGAGAATATTCAAATACTTGAAAGGCACAGTTGACTATTGCTTGGCTTACACTGGGTACCCTGATGCAATAGAAGGGTATAGTGACGCCAACTGGGTCACATATTCCAACAGTGTAAAGTCTACATTTAGATATGTGTTGTAATATCCCTAAATTTGGTGATAATAAGTCTATATTAGTAACTATTTATATAGATATCCTAACAATTGAATTAACTATATTAACTTGTAGATGAGTTTGCTAGAGGGCATTTATGCAACAAAAGAAAATAGTAACTACAATAACATATTTGTATTTGTTAAGGGGCTTGCTGCAAAAGAAGATTTGATGAGGGTTTATGGAAATATTAACACATAGTATATAAAGAAAAAAAAAAGTAAACCCTAGTTGTGTTGCCTTTCCTCCAAGTCGCAGACAAAAAAGAAAAAAGAAAATCAAAGAAGAAGAAAGAACAAGAGACTACGTACTCCTCTTCTCCCCTTGTGTTCAGTTTTTCACAACTGCTATTCTTCCTACTCACTCATCCATCAGATCCGACCCTCTCTCCACAATTTGCAATCATTGATCTCTATCAAACTGAACAATTATAACTATTTGCTATGGAAAAGTCAGTTTATTCCAGCCTTGCGTGATCTTGGACTCTTGGTATTGTTGATGGAATTTCTAAAGACATCAGCGTACAATTGTGAGGGAAGTTTGGATTTTTTTTGTGGTATTAAGGTAAGTGGTAAATTTGTACATTATTCGCTGCATATTTTTCATATAAAATTACATTGACTATATGTAAATTTATTTCTGATGGATTATATATCCTTTGTATGGTTGCTTACATACTAATTATTGATTGGATGAATGCGCGTGGTTATTTGGTATAAGCATATGCTTATTTCCTTTGTCAATTATTATGTCTTTTTATATAGTAGTGGGTTGAGATGCATATGTGGTTGATTGATTTCACTATTGGTTGGTCTTTAGCATTTGTATAACATAATTGGTTATATGAACTTTGTTTATTTTTCTTTTTAAACATATGTATCTCAAGTTAATATACCGGTATATGTCGGATATAAGCAAGCTATTAAAACATGGCTCAATGTGCCTCTATGAGGTTTTATTTTAGTGCTAAGAGCCCAAATTTGGGTCTCACTGTCCCGATACCACGGGCTTAATAATTGTGGGGTTTACCGAGTCAACCGGAGTATGAAGTGTTGATCGCATTGAGACGTAGCCTGCTTATTTTCCTTTCATGATATTTTCTTAGTTTTCTTAAATATTTATATTAAGTACTAGAATTCATTGATGATTCTCTATCATTCTTATATTTTGTTTATCTCTTGTCGAAATATTTGAATTTTTGTAAAACCAGTGCTTAATGTATGAATTTATCAACTTATTGAGTTGTGAACTCATTGTGTTGTTCTTATTTTTTTCAAAGACTCGGAATTAGGTAGAATTGATGATCTTTTTCAAATTCTTAGAACAGAGCAAGGAATAAAATTCAGGATTGTTATTATCTTGTAAGTGAAGGTTAAATAAAGTTTTGATGCTTAGTTGATGAATTGAGAGTTTTGTAATTATGGGATTTCTTTCCTTTAGGTCGAGTTTTATTTCAAGTTGAGGAATATTGTTTATTTTGAGTTAATTGGATTAATGTTGACTTTGGGATTATTGAGAATATTTATTGTTAGTTTTAGTTCGATGAAGAGTTTATTTTGATGGTCTTTTAATGAATGCATATTTTGGAGGATTTTTCACATGTTTAGTCAGGCTCCAATATTCCTTTTAGGATAGGAATTTTGGGTCGTGACATGTATTCCTTTTTTGTGGTGCACCTGTATCTTAAAAATCTTGTAAGCAAAGAGTAATTGTTAGGAGCACCATGAAGTCTGAGTTGATTGCTCTTGATACCACTTGTACAGAAGCAGAATGATTAAAAATCTAATCTCTGAACTTCATTTGATCCCTAAACCCTCTCCTCCAATTTCTATTCACTTTGATTCTAGATCCACCATAGAGCTTCTAAAGCAAGTGCATGTTAATAAAAAACTTAACAGACATATTCAAATAAGATATAAAGTTGTATAACGTTTGCTAGGCAAAGTTGTGATTCTAGATTTTGTAAAGTTTGAAAAGAATCTAGTTGATCCTTTGACTAAGGGTCTATCCAGGAGTGTGATTCTGGATTCATCGAGTGAGATGGGGTTAAGCCCATAGATGAGGTCACTAACAGCGGGAACCCAACATTTATTTGGAGACGCAGTCCCAATATAGGTTCAATATGGTAGAAACAAGCTGGACTAGTGACACTCGTGTGAAGCATCGACCTAGATATATTCATATATCATTATAATAGCATTTGCTGCTTCCCCTTCTCTATAGCGACGATGCTCTTATGATACAGCTGGTTAGGTTGAGTTTTACTCTTAACAAGTCCAACGCATGTATTGTGGAGGGTATGATATCCAGCTGTAATACCTTTGGAGGACTTACCTACATGAGAGGAACTGTGATGGCCGCGTTTTGGGGGGGGGGGGGGGCCCCTAGAACTAGAAATTCTTATGAGTCGACTATTGTGAGCATGACATTTAACGCTCAACCCATTTTGCTCAATAGATAAAGATGTATTGTATGTGTTTTTGTCAAAGCCTGGTACAATGAGCCTAATTCAATGCCTAGTCCATTATGTCACTCAGGTTGCGATGAAATCACTAAGAAAAAGTTCAAAGTCAAAAGGTACCTCTCCCGAATTCACGATACAAAAGGTTGTCCAACCTATATTTATTTTATGATTTATTATTTATTTTGAGTTTTCAGTCAAATTTTACCTTTTGGAGGGACTGTCAGCCTTGTAGAGGAGGAAAGACAATTTTGCCTTCAATGAATAGTCCCGCATGGACTAAGTTGATGAATAGTGGATGATTTGTAATGCTTCTACTCTCTATGGGCTTTGAGGATCCCTAAGAAGTGAGTGTTTTGGGCTTTCTACTGTTTGGGCTTTGCATAACACGCTCGCGCGTGTGCGGCGTGCACGCGCACGCATTTTTGTTTTGTTTTGTTAAACTTCTTTTTACACGTTTTTCTCATATCTTTTACTCGGTCATGCAACATGCGTAACGACTGTGAAAATTATGAGGAACGTGCGGAAAAGCTGAGCAACGTGCGAAATCCAGCAACGGCTCTCAGGGTTTCCGAACCCTATAAATTCAAAGGCAACACAGCTCGGAAGACACATTAACGAAAAACAATTCTCTCCTCTTCTCTCTTCTCTCAACAAAATCTCTTTGATTATTATTTTTATTTTGGGTAATCTTCTTCATCTGAGCAGAAGCTCTGCACTCTCGCCAGAGTACAAAAGCCGGCTGATTCCAGAGGTTTTTACCGCCAGGGGAGAGAGGATCATCTACGCCAGGGCGATAGCCGGATCCTCAATCTTCTAGAGCAGTGTTTGCACGACTGCTCCTGATAAGACCAGATTTTTAATACTTTTTATTTTTAGATTTTATGCATGCTAATTTCTTCATTTTGACAGCAGCAACTCTATTTCATATATTCTATGATTAAGGTGGCACATGAATAATAACTTTATCAATGATAACTTGCATCATATATAATTGGTTAGTACAATTCAGATCTGATTTGATCAGAAAAGAAGAAAGAAGAAGAAAATCTCAAATTTTGTCTTAGATTGTTGCGCATTTATCATATGTTTGATTATCTCTTCATCTAGTATGAGACTAGATCTTATATCTTACATTGTGATTAAATTTGCTATTCATCTGAATTGGGCCACATATTCTCATTTCACCCTAAGATACCCTCTCCATTTATGTGCACAGGCAATAGTACAATTAAAATTCATACCGTTAATGTATAATATATTCAACTACTAACTCAATTATTTGTGGGAATCCATAATTTTTGTTAGATTTTACACACTTTCTTTACCAATAAAGAAGATTCATGTTCGACTTCTCTAGGGTCGAAAACAATTTGAAATTTTGAAAAATTATGAATTCTTTGTATTTCTAATAGAGCATTATTTTTTCACACAAAATTCGTGGAATCAAGTATAAAACAAAGCACCGTTTGTCTTCCTTTTTTGTTGTTCTTCTTCGTTTGGAATTTCATGTAGGCTAAGGTACATATTGGTATCGTAGGACACAACTGAATTGTCCACTTTATAAATATTTTTGGTTTAATTTTACTTGTATTTAGTATTTAGAATACCACATATATACATACACACACATATGCATGTATATGTTGATTTTAAATTCAAACATGATGACTTATATGGAGGAACTCTTAATTGGAACAATTGCTGAAGCTTATCATAGATTGCTTACGTAAATGGCTTATAAAAATAACTTACATAAGCTGCTAAAAATAACTTACATAAGCTGCTAAAAATAACTATTTGGTAATTATATATCATAAACTACTTTCAAAAATGTTTCTTAAAGTTTTGTTAAAATTATTAGATGCAAAAATGATCAAAATAGACATGATTTTAGCTACCAAAATAAAGAAAGGTACTTTGAAGTTATATATAATTATATGAGGCAATATTATCAAAAGTAAAAGAAGGATATACATAATATAAAAGAAAAAAAGAAATTAACCAAATACTGCTCCATAAAAAATAACCAGCAGTACCAATCTGTCACTCGATTTATATAAGAAAATATTTTCATGTCAGTCTGTAAAACCCTGAAAATTTTGAATTAGTCCTTCCAACCAAAAGCTCCCCTAAATCATTAAGATTAGGAACCTAATAGCAATGTGAGGGTCCAATTTCATCAGATCAAAGGTCTAAGGGACTATTAAGAAAAAACCCCAAATCATTTCATCTCCAGCGATGAGAACTACCGTCACAGTATAGAGAGAGAGAGAGAGGGAGGGAGAGAGGCCAGTGACCTTCGAACACTAAAAATTCCACTACAAAAAAAAAAGCTGAGGAGAGAGAGAGAGAGAGAGAGAGAGAGAGGATCTCGATCGTGATCTCGAAATCGAAGGGGGAGGAGGGGAGATAAGACCGGCGATAATGGCTGCGAGGAGAACGGAAGATGAGTACGATTACCTGTTCAAAGTCGTTCTGATCGGCGATTCCGGCGTTGGGAAATCCAACATCTTGTCTCGATTCACCCGCAACGAGTTCTGCCTCGAGTCTAAGTCAACCATCGGCGTCGAGTTCGCCACTCGAACCCTTCAGGTCTCGATTCTTGAGCCTCAACAGTCTCGAAAACTCTGGTTTTTATTTAGTTGGAGAGTCTTGCGAGATCTCCGGATCTTGGATCAGGTCACGCAACGAGTTCTGTCTCTGAGTCTATGTCCACCATCGGCCTTCTCGATTCTTGAAATTTAAATCTTGAAAGTTTGGTTTATTTTGTTGTGGAGCTGTGCGAGATCTTAGGATCTTGGATCAGATCTGTCGGAATTTAGTTATATTTGATTATTCTTCCTTTCTTTCTTTCAAAGTTCGGAGTAGGGCTTGCTATGAGTTGAGCTTATCCAACAGAATGATGAAAACTTTCACCAGTTTATTAGCGAGTTGGCAGTAGGTTATTATAAGGGCTAAAGCTAACTGATTTTTATGGGAATAGTGTTGAAATTATTGTGTTCTTGGCAAAGAAATTTTCACCAATTAATTTGGGTTTTCAGTATTAGGTTGAAGTATGAGCTAAGACAATAGGTTGAAAATGATTAATATGTCCACCATTGGTGTTGAATTCACCACTTGAAGCCTTCAGTTCTCAATTCTTGAAATTTAATTTTGAAATTGAGTTCAATTGGTCGCAAAATTGCGCGGGATCTTTGGATCTTGGATTAGATCTGCAGTAACTCAGTGTTTTTTTGGTGATCGGACTAGAATTTTCTAGATTAGAATTATGAAAATTTTTGTGGCATTACCATGGTTTTCTTGGCTAAGAAATATTTCACCAGGTTATGTAAGGCTGAAGGGCTACAGCCGACTCATTTTGATGGAAATAGATTTGAAATGACTGTGATGATTAATAATAGAAAAAAATTGGGAATGATCATCGATTAGTATTTGAGAGCCTATAGTGTTCTTGAGTAATAAAAATTTTATTAACGGGTTAACATTGCATTAGGTTACATTATGCGCTATACAAATTGCTTACACAATTGACCGATACACTCGTATCTTTGATTAGATTTGTTAGAATTGGATACTGGATTTACCTTATCTTTTTTTTTGTTATCTGATGTTTTAATTACAGTAGAAATTCAATAATGTGATGGTTTTTGATTTGGGATGTGACTAGAGATTGTGATGGCTTCAGTTTGTTTGAATGACCAAAAAGATTTAATTTTCAGCCCATATCCAAGAGAATTACAAAAAATATTCACAGTTCTTGTCTAAGAAATTTTTCACCAGTTTATTAGAGGGTAATTAGGCTTGCAGTGGTGTGGTGATTAACTTAAAGAAAATGTAAATGATCATTTATTTGTATGTGAATCCCCATGGTGTTTTGGGTAAAAAGTCTTCAGCAATTCGCTAGTAGGTTGATATTACGTTAGGTTGATGTATGCGCTATACCCCACCCAAATTTGGTGGGGGAATAGGCTCAAAATGATGGCGATGATTAATAATTTATAGAAAACGATGTATTGACATAAATATTTCCTCTTTGTCTTCTTTTTCTCCCTTTGCTCCATCGCTTTGTGCTCTGTCGTGCTGGTGCACCATAGACATTTAAAGTCATACGGCGGTGAACTAGTTGGTGCATCTAAACTAGATTAATCATCTATTTGTTCTATGCTTCATTATTTATGTCTCTTCCAGGTTAAATTGGATCAGATTTCATCCAGATTGCCCCAGTATGACCAAAATTCTAACCCAATAAAACCATTTAGTTCAGTGTTGATTGTTTTATAAATTCACATAATTCATAGTGAGGAGCCCCATTAGCTCCCTACCCACTTTTAACACCTTATTCTGGCTACCATTATCACTTAACAGAGGAGTAAGAGAGTGAGGAGGGCCAAAACTTACACCAAAATTCTTGGTTTCAAACACATGTTAGATATTTGCAATTTGCTGTAAGGCTTCAAGTTAATGTCAATAAAACCAACAATGAACATAATAGTATGTACTTGTTTTTGAAATAAAGCTTACAATCATGCTTGAAACCATATATATGAAGACTAAAGAAAATAGTCAGGGAAATACTGACTATATTGTATTTTTTTTCTTAGAAATATGGTTCTATAAATGTTTAATCCTGGTTAAGTCAACAGGTCTAGCTGTCTAGAATTGGTATGGAAAGAGAAGGAAGAGTAGAGATCTTAGGGGCATGCCCCTTATGTGGCATGGACACTGAATATATCTGACACTGAGCTTCTTGGATACTCCTCAAAGGTCAAAATCTAGTTCTGAATATTTCTTGAACAATGCATCCTGCATTTCTCTTGTGCTTCTTTATTTTATGTTCTCTGTGTGAGATTGTAATTTTTGTTTTCAAGTAATGTATTGAAACCTATATATTTTAGGAAAAAATGCCAATTGACCTATATTATAGAACTGATAAATTTAGGTATGTTCTGATATAAGAAATGAGATGCATTGAGCTTTGTAGAAAGGTACTATTTTTTTTGTGAAATCATAAAATGCATAATGAGTTCAAATGTCAGCATATACCTTTCACAGAGCATATACATTCTATGGTTGTATTTAGCTACATTATAGATATATTTGTCTATAATCTAAACTTTTAGATACATGAACATGTATATGTTTGAAGCATATGTATGCAGTCTCTTTGTTAATATATCATTTCTAGTATCATTTTGTCACGTTCTATGGCCTACTTTGAAATGAATCAGCGTGTCATGTGTGCTTTTGTGTGTCCATGATTCTTGGAATGTGCACTAGCCTGTGTAATTGCACATATATGGAATATTCAAGTTCTAGGTTCCATATTCTGGAAACTATGTAGATTTGTAAGATTACATTTTTTTGTTGGTTAAAGATGTAACTAAAATAATATTAAGTGGCCAATGTTAAAACTTTTAGAGGAAGAGGAAAACACTTAATGAAGCAAAATGAGGGGATATGTTAATTATGCATCCTTCCATTTTATATATTAGTCTCACGCCCGCTAATATAGGTTGCAACTAGCAATAATTTATGTAAATCGTATATATCCTCATATTGAATATCCTAAGCATGAATTCTAATATTAACCATGAGACTGCGTTTTGCAACCGTACAGGTCATTCACCACTTGTCCTACATCTCTGGTATTATGACATATTGTCAACGTTACAGGTTATTCTAATAGATTTTTCACGGTTATATTGCATAGTGGTGGAGGATCTAATGGTTTTATATCTATTATTAATCAACTTAATGACCTTGACCATTACTTTCCTCAGAAAATCTAGCATTCATTCATCACAAATGATTTTCTCTAATTCTATATACACCTTTGAAATCTTTGACTCGTATTGATGTAACAGTATTGTATAGTGGTGGAGAACCCTTTTTCTCTACCGGAGAAGAGAGAGGAGGGAGGGGGCATTAATTGGCTATTGTAGGATATATTGTCACTAGTTCAAAACCTATAGAGACGTCTATAACTTCTAGGGATCAATTAAACACAATCAACCCAGGACTGTAGCAAATTAAAAGGTGGAAAATATTTGTTTTGATGTGATAGTAATCAAAATTTCAATGAAGTATATACCTCAATGAATGTCACGATTGGACAAATAATATGATGAATGTATGTCTTGTAGAATCCTGAGGTAGAATATGAGATAGAGGATGTTGAGGACGTTTATCGTTAATCACGAGTAAGGTTTGTTTATGCAAACATATATGCTCTGGATGTTTATCATAATGATTTTGATGAGGGTAGACCTGAGAACAAAACCTTCTTAATGCATTTTAAATGGTCATACCAGGCATGCCCAGTTTATCCTAAATCTAGGTTTAGGTTTGGGTACATAAAGACCAACTTTTAGCTTTATACTGTTCGCCAAACATTGAATAAGTTCTTCTTGAGCTTCACTGTATTTCATGTATATCCCTTCATCTTATTTCTTATTCAAAGGGTTGTGTCCCAGGTTCCTTATTTCTTTATACGTATCAAATGTTCACATTGACTAGAGGTGACTATGTACAACGTTTCCATCCCTGGCTTCAAAATTGACGAACTTACTGGACGCTCCTTTCAAGCAAACATGTCTTTCTTTCTTGCAAATAGTTGTGACTCTTCAAGGCATTCATGTTGACTATATATACCATCAATTACTTTTCATGTTTCTGAATAAGGTAGATGGTCTCCTGTTAATTCTCCTCAGACAGTTAGACCACTAGAATGAAATTTATTTACCACTGCTGATACTGTTTAACATTAGGCTTAACATATTTTTGTCAAGACTCATGTCAGCTTAGATTAAATCACACGATGGGAGTAGGGAAAACTGGAGAAGAAGAGTGCATACAATGTTTGTTGTTTACTTGAAGGAAATATTTAATGGGTGTATCATGTATCCTGCAAGTCATTATTTGATTTGCTTTTCTCTCTGTTTGTATATTTTTTAGGTTCAAGGCAGGACAATCAAAGCCCAGATATGGGACACAGCAGGACAGGAGAGGTACCGCGCAATAACCAGCGCCTACTACCGTGGGGCCCTCGGAGCTCTCCTCGTCTACGACGTGACCAAGCCCACCACCTTTGAGAATGTGAGCCGCTGGCTCAAGGAGCTGAGAGATCACGCCGACTCCAACATTGTCATCATGCTCATTGGCAACAAGACCGACCTCAAGCACCTCCGTGCTGTGGCCTCAGAGGATGCTCAGAGCTTTGCTGAGAAAGAGGGATTGTCCTTTATTGAGACCTCTGCCCTCGAGGCTGTAAATGTTGAGGAAGCCTTTCAGATGATTCTGGGACAAATTTATCGAATCATTAGCAAGAAGAACATCGCTTCCCCGGATGAGCCTGGGTCTGGACCTGCTGCTGGTGGTATTAAGGAAGGGAAGACTATTACAGTTTCGGCTGCAGAGGCGCCTACAAAGAAGCAATGCTGCTCGACATGAGGGAGATTCTAAGCTTCTGAGACTCTTGTTCTGTTGTGCATTGTCAGCTTCGAGATCAGGTTTTCTTGCCTGACGGTTGATTCTTTGTGGTGTTTTGCGTTTTGCATTGGAACTCAAATGTACTTTTTTTTCCTATCATTTTGTGCTTCGTGTTGTTGTTACCTTAGAATTGTAGAGGGATAAAGACGGGCTTTTTTTAGGAAGAAAGGATGAAAAGGTAAAGTGCTTTACATACTTCGGTTTATGAGAGACTGATGCAGAATGAAAATATTTTTTACTTGGTTTTGTCTCATGTTGTATCTTTGCATCGGGATGCATTTGCCGACATGCTGGGTCAAAAACAGTAGTACCCTTGAATCGGTAATACTTACTGCTAAGCCTCCCCTGATGTGTACTGATCAAATACCTTCACTTGTTGCCATACCACATGATCGGTGGAGCTGAGGATACTTTTAACGCTTGCAAAACCTTTTCGCTAGACTATCATTGCAGGGATTCTGTATCTGTAGATGTATCAGATACGGATATGATTATCTATATCTGATAGTATATAATTACATCTATTCCTCTATAATAACCAAGAATCACTATTCATGTTACAGTAAATACTACAGTAATTTAATGTAGCATTATTGCTGTAACATCATTCGTGATACTGTAGCATTTTAAAATGTTACTGCAACACTTACAAAAGCTGTATTTGAATATAGAATTACTGTAACGGAAATAAAAAAAATGGAGACCGTATTTTGTACGGGGTGGGTGCACACTAATATGTAGATATATTCCGAAAAACCATGATCTATATCTGAAAATGTGTTGGTCATACAATTGTACTTGTTTTTGTCCTTAGATAATTTGGTTTTAATTTAATTTTGATGATCAAGAGATCTAATCTTAGCTTTTTAAATGTAACGTACATATTATTAAACTCTCTTTTATCGCATGAACTATATGTATTTCAATATTATATGGTTTTCTCATTTTCATTTTGTTTTCGATGTGTATCGGTACAGTAGTGAAGCCAGGAATTTTGGAAAGGATGGTTTTAAAAAAATTAAACATGATAGTATAGGAGAAAAAAGTTGCACGGTTGATTAGCATCTAAACACCATAAAACCCAATTAGACCTTCATCCTATTCCAAATTAGAGTATATATGTTGTTTACAATAACATCCTCCTGTCTTCATTTCCTGAAACAACTCAATAATATCAACCTCATAAATGTTACAAAATATGCATTTTCAATATAGGACACTAAATAATCATTCGCATACTCGTATTAATAACTTCCATTGCCGAAATATTCTTTCAAGTTTCAATGTTTGTGTTGGAACAAGAAAGATCAATGCCAACTTCTCCAATTTGTACATCAAGGATATACATCATCCATTTTTCATTCAATCAAACTTTCAGCAAGTTTATTAGTTCTTTTAACTTAGAAAGATTATGATGAGTAGCTACATAAGAGATGTTGTTCTCAAGTTGATCGCTAAGCTCTATATAGTATACAGTTTATTTCAGAAAAATGTTTAGGATAAAGCTCAGCTGATCAAATAAATTTTCCTTATCAAAAGAAGAGAACGAATTACTTGATTAAAGACATGTCACACAAGAAAACAACTTCATATTAGGATTATCAAAATAGTTGCTCCATTCTCAGAAATAAATCGGAAGTACTAGTTAATACATGTTTTAAACAATTCAACTTTAAGTTTGAAAAAGACAAGGTATCATATGTATTTTACTCCGTATGAAATTACTATTAGAAAATTAACTATGTATATTTTTTTCCTTAATTATTTCGAAGTAGGGCCAAATGGCCAATGCCCCTTTGGACCTAATGTGGCTCCACCTTTGTATGTTCACACACATCTGCATGTATGTATCCATATTCGTATCGTTTTGTATATGATTTTATTTACTGAGGTGTAAGTATCATATCCAACATGTTTGCAAGTCTAGTTGAATTTTTTTAAATACTTATATTTTGAAACGTCCCCAGCATCAAGTCCCGTAGCTCAGTTGGTTAGAGCGTTGGTCTTATGAGCCGAAGGTCGCGGGTTCGAGCCCCGCCGGGACTATACACCCTCTAAAAAAAGTTCTTCGACTTTTTGAATTTGCAATAAATCACTAATTGGGATCATTTTTCACAACTAAAAATTTCTCCGTCAACCTTTTTAATCACTAATTGGGATCATTTTGCACAACTAACCTTGCCTTTTTATTATCTTCATTCTAAATCTTAATAAGTTACCTTGGACACGTTAGCATATTTACATCTGTATATACTCATTACTTGCCTTTTTATTATCTTCATTCTAAATCTTTAATAAGGTACCTCGGACGCGTTAGCATATTTACATCTGTATATATTCATTACTTAGAGCTCTCCAAGGGATCCCTTGGATGTCCTAATTTAGGGGGAACTTCAATGGTTCTCCTTTAAAAATCCCCTACCTCTTAATTAATTATGTTTAGTTTTTTAATTTTATAGATTAGGATTTAATTAAATATGTGGTTTATTTATAAATAAATAAATAATTAAATATTAATAACTAAAAACAATTAATTAATTACTTTAAATTAATAAATTACCTTATATAATCATTAAATTAATTAATCATATTAAAATTTAACAAATAATTAATTTAGATAATAATTAATTTATATAAATTGTGTTAAAAGTTAAATATTATTTTAAATTTAAATTCATATTATTTTTACATTAACTTAATCATATTATTTTAAATTAACTTAATTATATTATTTTAAATTAACTATACATTAACTAAATTTAATTAACTATAAATTAACTCTAAAACAAAATATATTAATATAAAATTATAAGGTTAAGAGACTTTAACCTTCCCCTTAATTTGAGGAGGAAGTTAAGAGACAGGGGGATGAAGGGAAAAATTCCGGTCCCTTGGGGCCAATCCTTCTTGAAAGTCCCCTAATTTAGCTAAGGGACCGGATTTTTCCGGCCCCTTGGAGATGCTCTTACACTTCGTTGCAGGGGATTTCATCATGTTACCCGCCTTGTTTGAATTTAAGCAAATAAGATAGAAAAGATACGTGAGACATTCACTCCATTTGAATAGTTTTTACGTGGTGAATAGTTTTCTCTAGTTGCCCCCTCCCCCCTCCACTCCCCGAAGTTGAGATGCAATGAAGGGAAATTAAGATAACTCCTTTTAACTTCTTTGCTCGTCTCTACCCCATTCTAACTGAACTTTTTATCCTCAATGAAACCCAAACACACTAAAACTCTCATTAACTTTCAATATTCTACAGTAAACCCTTGGACCTAAACATAGCATGAACTTTCGGCATCCTGCAATAAACCGCTGTGAACTTCCAACATCGGACTAAACCCCCGCTAATCTTGCATAAAACCCTCGACATCTTTTGGGTAAATTACACTAAACCCGAAATAACTTTCAAAATGCCTTTCTATGTTGTTTCTAGTTCTGATTCATGGGGTTTCTCTGCAAAATGGAGATTTTGAAAGTTCTAATTTTGCCTTTTTCATGTTGTTTTCTAGTTCTAATTTATGGAGTTCATCTGCAAAATGGAGATTTTGGAAAGTTGTTTTCTAATTCTAATTCGTGGGGTTTATCTGTAAAACAGATATTTTGGAAGTTCTTGTGTTGTTTTCTAGTTCTAATTTATGGGGTTCATCTGCATAATGGAGATTTGGAAAATCCCATAAATTAGAGCTTCCAAAATCTTCATTTTGCAGAGAAACCCCATGAAACAGAACTAGAAACAACATAGAAAGGGATTTTTGAAAGTTATTTCGGGTTTAGTGTAATTTACCCAAAAGATGTTGAGGGTTTCATGCAAGATTTTTGGGGGTTTAGTGTGATGTT